CTGAATCATGTTTGTTTTAGAAAAGGTGAGATTTCCCATCCTCATTATCAGTCGAGGATCAACGAGAATGATTTTGTTCGATCCATTCGTAATATCTGTCCAGTACCTCCACCTGATTGTTATGAACATGAACCAGAGCATGATTTGAAGAGATTCTTCATTAATGATGACCGCATCATTTATTTGGATGGCAGGTATCAGGTCGATCCAAAGGCCCTTGAAAGGGCAGAACATGCTCGAGAAGAATTGGAGGAGACGAAGAAGGAACTCAAGAATGAACTGGAATCATATGGTCCCAAGGGACCCAGTTGGGACTTTGTCACCTTCTATGAAGAGCTGTGCAGAAGGTTCCTCAAAGGGAGAATAGAAGAACCATATGGAACTAATTTATTGGCCAGCTCAGAGTCCTTGACATTTTTATCCTGGAACTATGGCAACATGGTTCGTGGTCAGAAGTACACCACACCAAGGTTTCTCCAAGGACTTGATAGTGCAATGAGGCCACGCAAACAGAGCGCCATGTCACTTCAGAATGAGCAATTTGAGAACAACCTTTTCTTCAACATGCTCTTCTTTTTACGTGCACATGTCGTGATTCTCCAGGAAGCTCATCTTCTTGTTCCTGCCAAGGAATTTATTGAGCAAAAGAATTGGACAGTTTGTTTCAATGATTGGGAGAATCTTGCAGTGATGGCTAGATTGGCACCAGGTGGATATGTCAAGATCATTGCTGGACATGATCAAGAACTTGGTCACTGTGAACAGCGTGATGTAACTTGGGCTATCTACGAGATTTGTTTTGGAGAAACAAGGCCTCGTCAAGATTTCAAGGATGCAGACTTTGAATTTGATGACTATGGTCCTGAGGACAAGCGTGTTCCACTTACTCGAGCGAACATGCATACCATCAGAGTCTGTAATTATCATGTTGATACACACCGTGCTGTGGATGCCCACCTACTGACAGGAGAACAGACAGCATTGATGCTTTACGAGTGTTTTGTCTATGAGGTGGACATCATTTCTGGTGATGCAAATAGTTTGGCCTACAGAATGTCTGGGTACAAAAGGCAGCCAATGGCTAACTACTATTACAGCACCATGCAGCATTGGATCCGCAGGTTTTCAGAAGCTCGTGTAAAAGCAGATCTTGGTATCAAAGCACCTATTCCCAGAACATTTTACAGTTCAACTTCACAGGTCCTCAAGAAGTGTGAAGTTTACTTTGATAAACTCTGGGAAGAATATTCTACTGTTGAAAGAGAAGAATACCAAGGATCACAGCTTGGCGATACATGTTTGTCTACCATTGTTGAATGGGGTCATTCAATGAGTGAAGAGGAATATGAAAATTCCACAGTGAGCACGAAGGAGTTCATCTGTAATTTTTCAGAGAACTTTGCTATGATTGATACAGAGGTTATGTGCTCAAGGCCCACTGACGAGGACAGTCATGGTCCAATGTTTATTTCACTCAGACCAGCTTCCCTTTCATCTGGAGACAGAAGACAGTATCGCGTGGGAGCAACGCTTCAAGAGGCGAACTTGCGGAGGAAGGAGAGACAAAAGCAGAATAGAAAGAAAGGAAGGCCGCCAACTTCTGGTCAAGCAGCTTCATCGTCTGCAGCGGCATAATTCCTGAGCGAAGGCTGAAATTTAAATGATGGCTAGGAAGTGAAGATACTTCTGGTTACAGTTGATACTTTGCTTCCAGGCTTGACTTTAAGTTGCCAGGCTGAAGTTTTAATAAATTCTGGTTTGCAATGAGGAGAAACTTTTTATCAAAGAAGATACTCCTGCATTCCAGGTTTATACGCTTTAGCATGTAGATAGGTATGGACAGTTTTACATAACTGATGATATCTATCATCATCGCTCTTATGAAGTGACCTCTAATGGACAACCAGTCATGGTTGATGATTAAGTCATTTCATGATTTGCAATTGTAGTGCAAGATTTTTGTACATACATTTGCCGGTATCTCCTTCTTGTGTTTTGATGTGAATGTGAAAGAGAGTCCTTTTGATGCAGTTTATTTTGTCTGTGAATGAAAGCGGTCGAGACCACGTCACGAGAAGATTATTCCTCGGACCGTACGCTCCTTGCATTTTGCAAGGCATCTTAATTCATTGCATTGTGCGGTCTTGAATTTTTAGTTCCTTGTTACGCGAGTGTCGTTTGATTCTTTTATAGGTCTCTGTAGAGAAAAAGCCGCTTTCCCTTTTAGTTTGATTTAGCTCAGGCCCTAAAGAGCTAGTGAGCGCCGGTACGTGGTATCTCCGCCTGCGAAAAGTACAGTCTCCAGCCGAGGTACATTATCGATTTGATCTTGTACTTGAGGTGAGTCAGCTATTGCTCCCTCACTGTATTTAGTAGCTATGAGATTACCTTCTCTGAAGTGTGAAACACACTGGATTAGGTAAGTACATGGCACCGTAGTTTTCTTTTAAGTTGTCAGAGCTAGCTGGACTGTTTTAGCCTTGCAGTAGAAAAAGAGTATGCGACATACGCAATCAGCTAGAAGTGGACATGAATCTTGTGCCTGCTGAAAAGTAGAGCCTACCTGTACAGGGTTCCACTCCAACAGCTGATATAGTGTGTCCATGCTTGACTGCTTCAAGGCTCAAGAGAGGGTCAATGGACCTTAAAGAGCAAGAGGATAAGACTCTGCGCATAAAAGACACTAGCGGTCTGCACCTCTACCGTGTACGCCCTAGTCACTCTTTCACCCCCCCCCTCCCCCCCTATTAAAAAAACCTCGGTCGCATTTTTTTTAATAGGGGGTCCCTGAAATCGGGGGGTCCAAAATAGGGTCACCTGGGAAGAGCTTCAAAACCAAAAAGTAAATCCGTAAAGTTTTATATAAAATCCTTTATTAAACTCGTATCAAAAATGCAAAAAAGCTCCAGATCGAAGGGTCTTCCTTTTCCCCTACAAAAACCTTCATTAGAATAGTTATTCTTCGGTAGACTAACAGCTAAAGCTTTCGAAAGGTGATGTCGCTGTGCCATGCGGTGTTGCATGACCTCGGTGGCAAGTGCGTTTGCGTGAGTCCGTGCCATTGGGGGAAGGAAAGCCTGCTGGTGTAAGCGCGGCGTGTCATGGTGGATAGACAGGGCGGACAGAGGTGGGCAGTTACGGTTGATTTTGGGGAACCTAATTAAAAAAACTACCCCCAAAATCGACCATGTTGGTAGTTTAGTAGCGGCTTGAAAGGGCGGCAATTTAAAACCAAATATAAACCGAATTTAGGGGTTCGGACGTGTGGTTTTTTTAATTGGGGAGTGTTTATTAATAGGTACTCGGGATTACTAGGGTAGAAACCATCACAAGAACACTTAGGAGGATAACTTCACAACTGCCCACCTGCACTTCTGCTGTTGGAGAGATTCCAGCTGAGATAGCGGTTGCATTGTCATCATCCAAAATCCTTAGCTTCGGTACAAAGTGCAAGGTATCCTTCATAACTTCGGTACAGGGACCTGCAATCATGTTACCCTTTGCTAGCCTGCTGGTCAGGTCAGTGCGGGACCAAAGAGGTCAGACAAAGCATCGAACAAGAGATGCATGTAGCAACGAACAATGAAAAGAAAGGACCTGGTTCTTCAAAGTGACCGTACTTGATAACCTGGTTTGAGGTCACTTAAGCCTCCTAAGGGTCACTTAGGAACCTTCAAAAGGTCACTTTGAATAAGCTGGGACTTGCATCCAGAACGTTGAGCCGTTCAAAATCCCTGGTTGAGATCCAAGCATCTCTCCCTCCAAGATCACCTTCACACTGCAAAGTTCTCCAGCGATTACATCATCGAAGCTTTGATATGCCTCAGGGATCCAGGGATCAACACACCAACCATGTCTCCAACGCGTGGTTGGAAACACGTAGCATTTGGATGCCAAAATGGCTTTTCTCGTCTTCTTACCATCGGTTTAGACACCCCGTCTGTTTAGACACCGAGTCTGTCGACCGGACCGACTCGCACTGGGTGGGATGGTGACCGACGTCTGAAGAGACGAACACCGGGGTCTGACCAGACGGCGAGGCCCTCAGATCTCGAGAAACACGGAGGTGTTTGATCATCCAGGACCTTCAGTTCGTGACCTAGAATGAGATCCTAGAATGAGGTCACGAACTGAAGGTCCTGGATGATCAAACACATGTTGGAGTTGGTCCTGCCAACCAGCCTAGGGGGTTCTTGTTTGGGCGCCAAGGCACCCTATATGACAGAAGCTCCAACGTCAGATGGACTTCAGCCCCCTGCCTTCAGATTCTCCTTCAGCTCTCTGATGGACATCGTCGGCAGGACGTCCATCACACAGCCCTTTCCGCTCATGAACTGCACCGGAACCCTCATGATAGGTTCTTCCATCTTTTGGCTCTTTGGCCAAAGCAAAGCGTTTTGCCGCAGATCTACGACGTGTGTCGCCTGTCATCAAAGCCTCCGTGAGCCATCGACCCAAGCGTCGGTGCCCGTGCCCGAGATGGCTCGTCCATGCCAAGGACTCAAAAGGAGTCTTGAAGCGAATTGAAGCTGTCTCCTCTTAGTTCATCTGCTGTCCATCTCAAAGTCATATTGAATCCCACGAATGAAGGAGAAATGGTCCGAGAGAATCAGGTTAGATCCGCCCAAACTGGGTAGGTAACATCATCTGGTGCTAGGTAAAACTTAAGTATCCGCCTCCAAATGATGGCAAACACATTGTAACACTCTCTAAGACTTGGATATGATCTTGTCTTCCACATTCTTCCACCATCTTTGCCCTTGGTGCTTTTTGCAAGGTCGAACCACTATTTATCAATTCCAGCCTCTCCTGCTGAGTCGACTGAGTTCATCCATTTCTTCCATAGTTCGAAACATCTTCCCCCACATCTTCGGGAAACAACTTCTTCCCCAAGATCCATTTCTCCTCACAAATGATTTCTCCAATCCTCACTTCCTCAGATTTCTTCCTCACTTCCGTCCCCATCTTCCCTCCCCGCGACCGGTCCCTGTCAGACCCTGTCAGTCCCTGTCCACCGCCGAGGCGCTGGTCGAAGCGCCCACGGCCACCTTCCCGGGGTCCAGTGCGGCGGACAGGAGGTTCCTGGACACGACCGACGACGGAGACTGAGGGAGCGGAGACCCAACTGGGGGAGACCCGTCTTCGGACCGGCATCTGACTGCGGGGTGGTTCCGTTTCCTGCCACATCAGCTTTGGATGAAACTGACATGTTTCGCCACAAGAGTCTTACCACCATAGCAAATATCATTAGCTGGTATACCGGTCTATCGGCAAAGCCGCCCTGGCCTTTTGTGTGTAGATGGACACATCAAACAACCATCTCGCAATCATCAACAAATATCACCCGCTACACTAAAAAATCTCGCTACAATCATCCGCTACATTTATATAGTTATATTAGTTCTGGGTCACGCAGTCGTGCACCATTGAACCGCTCCTTTAAAGCAACGCCGCTTGACTCGGAGTCGCTTCTGACCCCATGACCCGCTTCTGACTGCACCGTTCCGTTTCTCACCGGACCAGGTGGCCCAAAGGTGCCACTCGCCAGGTAGAGGAAGAGGAAGCGGGACTGGCCCAAGAGTTGCCTTGGAGAATCGAACGAAAGAGTTGCCTGCCCAGTTTCCAGCGAAGGAGGACGTTCGTTTCAGGAACGAATTGGACTGACTTGATACGGACACTGACATATTGACATATGCTGGCTGCCATATTCTGAGTCAGTTTGGTCCAGGCAGTTTCAAGCAGTCAGGATGCTTCCTGTCTTTCTTTCGTCACGTTTGGCTCGAGTCATCGGTGGAACAGCTGCTGAACTCCAGATCTTCCGCGGCACCAGACGAAAAGCCAGTGCCACAACAAGCATTTCGCCCTTTTCTCGGCCTTTTCGTCGGTTTTACCCGCGTGACTTGGGGCCTTTCTGGGTATCACTTCTTGTCCATCCTGAGTTGTCTGTCAAATGGACACCATCGTGACTTGGTGTCTATCATATTGGAGTTGTACAAATCAACATGTTGTAAACACAGGAATCTAGTAAAGAGCACGTTCAACCATCGATACTTGGACAAGGGACATCTGTGCAACCTTTGCGGCCATAAGACAAATGGAGTCCAGTAAATAATTGCAGCTTGAGGACGTCTAAATATTTCCACGTGGTGCCACAATATGCCACAATTGTGTAAATATTGAGAGTTATGACAAGCCTTGGCAACTAGAGCTTCGTCAAACTTACTCAGCTGGTGTGAGATCAACAACTATGACACGTCGTCAACAATCACATGCGATCCACATGACTCACTCATACTTTGTGGCGTCATTGACGTGTTGTAGTTGTTTGCAATCCTGGGATTTTGGTAGCATCCATTCGAACACATATTGACCTACAAGCTCATCAACACCTTTTGTTACATACAAAAGGCCCTGCTGTTGGGTTGTTGGTACAGCAAAGATGAGGGGATATACTGGTCACCGGCTCTAGGTACAAACATGTGTTGATGTACAGTATGCCCTTTCTCAATCTTTCTCAAGCCTATCGCCCAACATTGACCTTCGGACAAAACAAACCTGCAGCCACGGGGCTCGATTTTGAATCCAAAGCGGAGCTGAAAAAATCCTCAGTCCACTCGTCGACCAGTCATGCGATTCTAATGGTTGGGAGATCTCCATGAGCCATAGTCATAGCAAGCTCATGGATGGAGGTCCCAACCAAACCATTTCAACCGCAGGAAGCACCAATAAGCATCAGCCTTCAAAAGATCTGTCTGTTATGATAGTAGACAGCCCGTGCCTACAGTATCAGTAGAAAAATAAAGACACACTCCAGCAACCTTCTGTTCGCGTCGCTGTTTTTGCTCCACCCCTCGGTTCGAAATGCGACGCGTTTAGCGCGCTGGCTGGTTCGCTTTTCGCTGGTTCGCTGGCTCCAAGGCGCACGTTGGTCAAGACATGGCCGAAGTTCCCGTGCAGGAAAATCGGCATCTGCGAGCCAGATCGGTTTGGGAGTGCCCGGAGTGAGTGCCGTGCTCCAGCGGTTTGTTTTTTTTTGGGAAGGTGCAGTGGTGGATTCTGTTGTAGCAACCTCTGATCTATGAAAGCATGTACATACACAGTAGCATAGAGTATAGCTATTGTTGAATGATGGTGGAAAGCAGGCAGAAGCGCTTCATGCTTGTTGCCAAGTATTAGCGGTCGCCGGACCGTCTAACTGCACCAGCAAATCGATAGAAATCATTGCACATGTAACATTAAGTGCTGTACAAAACGGTGCCTGGGGATGCATGAAGCCTATCTCTTACAACTGGATGGGACGAATCTTCGTGCTGTGCACGAATCAAGGGGTCCCCCAGAAGTGCAGCTTTGCTCAGTGCGGCACTCTCACAATCTTGGTGTGTAAACGACACGTAAACAAGGCTGAAGAGAAAGACTAAATATGGGCTCTTCATGTGCGCCAGGTCTCTCAAACAACTTTTTTGTATATAGATGTCTCAAAACAGCAAGGTCGGATAAATCCACAGAAAAAAAAAACATAAGACAAAACACAAGAACACCGGGTAGGTTCATTTCACCCTACCTTAAGCCTACCCGTTCCACCTCCCCAACCCGGGCGGGCGGGCTTTTGGGCGACCAAGGGGCGGTGAGACGCCACCAGTCGCCACGGACGACCAGTGGCGCCCAACCGGCGCCCAGGCGTACCATGGCACAGGACGACAAATCCCCTGGCGGACGAACGAGGCGGACGAGGCGCCGAGGCGCGCGGTTCCGGGCGCCGGTGGAAGAGACGCCAGGTAGATGATGTTGGAGGTGGAGGTGGAGGTGGAGGGAATGCCTGGTAGATGGGACTTGTCCCTGGTAGATGATGTTTGTCATCACCTGTTTCCTTTGTTTCTCAAGATGGATATATATAACTATATATGTATATAATTATATATATATATATCTTTCATGTTCAAAGCAAGTGGAGGACAGTGTTGGTGGTTCTGAGGGTGACTCAATGACCTTGGTCGAAAGTGGGCCAATACCAAGTCTCCCTGTGGTGGATTTTGATGTCCAACATCTACTTTAAAAACTTGGGGATGAAATCGAACCACCATTTGGTTGATTCCTCCTGATCTTCACTGGGCACGGGCGCTTGGGAAAGTCATTAAGCAAATTCCAACTTGTGGTTTGTGTTCCAATCGAGACCTCGCACTCCGGCAGAGCGACCACGTCAATTCCTGCTTTTCAGGCTCCAACTTCTTAGAGTCCCAGGGCCCAAAGCCAGCCAGGGCCTGCGGTGAGGATTTGTTCCATCAAAAACATCATCATCCTCGGGCGAGCCGAGGCAAGAAGACCCACGGCGACTCGCCCTGCTGTCTGAGCACGGCTGGGGCTGGTAGGCTCATGGAGACGATTACTAAAACCACGCATTTGGAGAGTCTTTCACAATTCAATTGGGGGAGGCTATTCATCATTGGGGCCATCGGGTGCCACTCTTGTTCTCCACTTCAGAACTGCATGGACTCCACGGACACCTTGGACACCTTGGACTCCTTGGACTCCACGGACACCTTGGACACCTTGGACACCATGGACATCTTGGACTCCTTGGACTCCATGGACCCCTTGGACTCCTTGGACTCCATGGACACCTGGGACTCCTTGGACTCGTTGGACTCCATGGACGACACCTGGCAGGGCTTCTGGGCGAGGTTTCACCATTCGCTGAGCTGAAGAGCGATCGACTCATTTCAGACCTCATTTCAGATGTCCCAGCCCCATCGAATTTGGGAGAGTTGGTCCCAGGAGTCCCAGGTCCCGCAACCAAACCAGGGTGAAGTGGGAAGCATGGCTTTCTATCTCCTCCCGTTCCATCTGCGGTTCTAATTGTTGTAGCCAGTACATGAAGCGTAGAAAAGTGCTACGCTGAACTCTGAAGTACATTATGGGGTTTCCCGAAAGAGGGACGAACACAAAGAGAGAGAGAGAGAGGGGGGACGGAGAGAGCGAGCAGATTCAGGACGTCAAGCAAAACCACATATACAAAAATAGCTACAATAATGATTATATTACATAATAAATTACAGTATATATAGAGATTACTATATTATATACAGTATGAGTATATGAAAATGGTCACACATTCAATAGATCACTATAATTCAATTCAGTTCTTAAAGCATACAACACTTCTGACAATGGATTAGACTTTAAACGCGTCACATTCATTGCTGAAGCACATCAGCAATGGTTTCGCCGACCGTGGTCATTATTTCATGAACCTTGTTCTCCCCGGTGTCAGCTTCCGTTGGCAGCCAGGCCCTCTCCCGCCCCCCTTCGGTTCGAATCCCCCTTCTTTCACGACAACGACTTTGGGAAACCCAGTGGCTCGGTCACGGAAAGCCTCACCAACACGCTGTTCCACTGGAAGCCTCGAGGCGAGGGCGAGGCAGGGCGGCGGCGCGGCCCTGGTGTCCGGGACGCGAGGATTGGATCAAACCCTAGGGGCTCCTGTCCCACCTGCTGAGAAGGTGGGCCACCTGCTGTGGGTGACAGGAAAGTCTAAGCACCGAACCTGAGGATATGGGCCAGGAGCCTTGGGGAAAGAACTTGAGAAGTGGGACGTTTTCAAGACAACACATGCAGAGAATGAGACAGCATAAACATAGACCACCACGTATCATAGTATATCAGAGTATGGCAGATTTTGAGGGAATCTCGAGGTGGCATTCTTTTTCACACAAGGGTGAACAAGGCAGGGAAACAGTAGGAACTTCCTTTTGGGAGAATCTTAGTTGGACATTGCATTACCTTCCTTTCAACCTTAGAAGTCGATTTTCTGTTCAACCGACAGTGAATGACGTCTTCTTTTGAATCAGCAAACCCTTTTTGAACGTTTATTCACTACTTGTGGCAAATCAAGATGTCTCCCTTTGAGTCCATTCCATTTTCATCCCAGGTAATCAATCCACAGGACATCTCAGCGCTGCAAACAGTTAATTATTAAGATGGCAGTGCTGCCTTTAATTAAGAGCTATTAAACCACATAACACTCAATCATACTCAATCCACAAAAAACATAGAACCCCAAACCAACACAGAACACAGCCGGCAAACATAATCTTCCGTGAACCCCATACAAAGTCCAGCCACGCACTGCACACACACAATGATTGGACTCGCTGGCAAAATTTGGATGCCTGCCCTATTATTGTTTCTACAGGCTTGACTTGTGTGGGATCCTGCCCTAAAAGGCCGCAAGTCCCTTGCATTATCTGCAACACCCAAACTCAGAAAGCATGTCACATCAGCCTATCCTCGAAAGATCAGAACCGCTCATGGTCAGGAGTCCAGCAAATCGCGTTTCAACAAACATATCGTCTTCATCCACTTGGCACCGGGATCGTCGAAAGTAGCCCTTACTTAGTGAATCATATCATTCGATTCAAGAAAAAACAGCCCTTCATTCTTACAGTCGTCCCTCTATAGTTCCACCCTCACAAACCAACATGCGTCAGTTCCCTGTTCCCTTTCACCTGTTCCCTAAACCCGAAACCTCCCCACCCTTCGCAGCTCGCCGCAGCCCGCTGCAGCGGCCCGTCGCACCTGGAAAGAAGAGCTCCAAGGTGCCTGGCCTTTCCCGACGCTCGGTGCCCAGTGCTCCAGGGGGTATCCGTAGAGTCTCAGGCACGGCCGCAGCACTGGCCAAGAGTGGGCGCCTGGCCAGCTGGGTAAGCTGGGTCGGTGTTGTTAGTTTGGTGCGTGTGTTTGTGTGTGGGTTGGATAGAGCTGGGTCGGGATGGTTTGGAGGATCGACATCTTTTTGGAGAGTTCGCACGTGTGGAGAGCACTGAAGCCATCTTGGAGAAGTTGAGTCTGGCAAGCAAGTGAGAACCACCCTATATCCGCCGACCCCTTGCGACTGCAAGGGGAGCGCGTGAGAGAAGGTACGAGTGCTCAGGGTGTGGAGGGTTCGAGCATGGTCTTGCTGTGTGGGGGCGCACGGAGCGGCCTCGGAGATGGCGCCCCAGATACTGGCCGATGTCTGGGAGCTTTGGAGGGAGGGGACGAGTCTCGAAACTTGCCAGAAGGGGCTTGCTCGAGGCTGCTCCAAAAACGGGATCTGAAAGCGACGTTAGACATCTGGGCCCTTCAAACCCCTCAAACCTCGAGGCTGCTTCAAAATGTGTTTTTGTTTTTTTACGGGATCCAAAAGCGACGTTAGACATCGGCGCCTGCCCTTCAAACCCCGCAAACCCTTCAAATCCTCCAAAAGCCTCGAAACTTGCCAGAAGGGGCTTGCTCGAGGCTGCGTCAAAATGTTTTTGTATGGGATCCGAAAGCGATGTTAGACATCGGGGCCTGCCCTTCAAACCCCTCAAACCTCTCAAATCCGCCAAAAGCCTCGAAACTTGCCAGAAGGGGCTTGCTCGAGGCTGCTTCAAAATGTGTTTTTTTACGGGATCCAAGAGCGACGTTAGACATCGGGGCCTGCCCTTCAAACCCCTCAAACCCCTCAAATCCCTCAAACCCCTCGAAACTTGCCAGAAGGGGCTTGCTCGAGGCTGCGTCAAAATGTTTTTGTATGGGATCCGAAAGCGACGTGAGACATCAGGGCCTGCCCGTCAAACCCCGCAA